TACGGCGACTAGATTGCACACATTGGCCACCCAAAGTCAGCAAAATCAGCAAATTTCCGAGATTCGACCACTTTTTGACCAACTTGGTCGGAAAATCGTTGCGGTCAAAGCCAAAATCGTTGTGGTCAACGTCTTCCCGATACATGGTATGAAAGAGTAGGGTCTTAAGAATACTAAGACGCCGAGGGAGGCCTTTCACGACAACCAGATTGGACACAGTGGCCACCCACAGTCAGCAAAATCAGCAAATTTCCGATATTCGACCACTTTTTGACCAACCCTTTCAACATAGGAACGTAGGCAAAAATTACCTCTGCCTACGTTCAAGGCAATACTGACTTGACCATTAGACGCCGGGGCGGAAATACCCCTCGCCAGCGGCCGACTGCGCGCGCAGGGGTAGCGACGCGGCCTTCGCGGCACGGAGTCTCTCCGCCTCTCCCTTCCCCTCCCGCCGCTTGCCGCCCTTGCCGCCCTCCGCGCGCGCATTCCGCCCCCTTTCCGGCCGTTCTCTGTCTTTCACTGCATTTCTCTGCCCTTCGCCGCAATGTTGAGTATTACTATGATAAGTTGTATTGTAGTTTCACAATTGAAAAGTGTTCTCAATTCCCGCCCCGGTGGATGTAGTGTATAGTCGATCCGGCTGCGCCGAGGTTCGAGATATCGAAAGACCGAAGTTAGTAACTGGTTGTCTATGTAAAAAGACGAACAATAAATCAAATCACTTCTCTGAACAACGTCAATGAGTGCACACGTTAATCCGTCAGCTTCCCTGCAATCCGTAATCAACTAGTTTCCAGTTGATTGTCTATGATTCTATTTCCGCCGCTAAGCATCATCTATCCTTTTAAACAGAGAAAGAAGGTAGGTAGTTCATAACTTTGCCGCTTCGTGGCCGCCAGCGCCAAGCGCCACTGTCGCGAGCGAGCGACGCGTAGCTTCCATTTTCCGTCGCTGAAAAAGGATTTGTCGATTCGGAACTCCATGTAGTTATTTTGTGAGCCGAAGTGTTGTGCTCCAAAGTTTACGCCGAATTTGCCGAGATTGCTGGTATGTTCTAATGTCAAGTATTTTTCAAATTATCTGTGACCGCCGACAGACATTTTCAACGCGCTGCGATCAGTTATGAACCTTTCTTCGATAGGAGGGATAACTGACATCCTTTTCGATTGCGTAGCCACCTAGAAGATCCAAATATTATGGTAGGGTTATGCTAGCAGAAGAACGGCATTGTTTACTCGTTGATTAATTTTCCGCAGAATATTTTAGGGTTCTTACACTTCTAGTTTTACTAAATGTATTGGTTAATTTCGTTCGAATTTTCATGTAATCATGGTCAGCTTGTGACGGTGTAGCTTTTATGTTGTTTTCAGTTAGCGCGGGAAATGGAAATGTATAAAATTGAAGTCAAAGACTTGTATTTTTAAATCGTTTAGTGCCCATAATTTTAGCTCCTATGATGTTTAGGATGAAGTCTGAAACTCATTGTGCTGATCATTAATTTTAATGTGCGCGTTCTAGATGTTTGTGTTATGGGTGCCTTAACCTCTTCCTGCTTTCAAATTTGTGTCAATTATATTTCTGCTGGAAGGTCGGAAATTCAGCCTATCGTTTTTCTTCTCCCGTGCTACTCGCTTTCTATCCTTTTATCATAGTAGAATGTGTTTCAATTTGCAGCTCCACAATCAGCAGTCATGGAGGAAGAAGGAATAGATCCTTCTTCAGTGAATCGCAATCCTAAAGTCATAAAAGGTATTTATTGTAACTACTTAAATTTACTCAAGTTTCCTTTTCAAGATATTAAATTGTATGTTGATTTTTGTCTTCGAACAGCTGCCCAGGAGGAAATTTCATGTATGGATGTATTAGTTTGTGGAAAATGTCATGTAGTGTTCCATTTCATTGAAGAGTTCCAGGAACACAAGGAAAAGAATGAGTGTGGCTCACCAGTGTTTAAAGCAAACCTTTCGGTATGTATCAGAATAGATATTAATTTTGTAGAAGGCTGGTTTGTTTAGGGCATTAAACATATTTCTATTCTCAGGAACCAAAGCCCCAAGTCTGGGCCTTTCTTCTTTGGAAGAGTTCTCAAGCAAAGCCCACTGGTAAATATATCTCAATTGCTTTTGATTATCTTTGCTTCATATTATCTTCCCAATGTCGACAAACTTGAAATAATTCTGTTGCTTACCTGCTACCAGGCGATGGAGACCAAGTCAGTTCATGGAAACTGTATCAAAAATGGTGTAAAATGCCAGACAACATTCGAGAAGCTTGGATATCTGCTGGGAAAGCCATACAGGTGTCTACTACATTGGCCAGTGCAAAAATGCAGGAAGTTAAGTCCCCCCTGGCAAAGGGCCCTGTTATGCAAAAGCCAGGTTTGTAGTTTTGATGTCCTTTTTCACTCTTGGATTGAGAGGTACACCACATGATAAATGGTTTCATATCCATTGCAGGAATTATTCGCAAAGTCATCAAAGGGAAGCCTCTTGCAACCACTCCTACTATTCAAGGTAGTATGGAGAAATTAGCTGAGAAAGAGGAAGACATAAAGACAGATGATGCCAAGGTATGTATTAAGGAAATCTAAGGTTTTCACTGGCTGAAGTTCTGACACTAATTTGCTCTCTCTGTGTGCAGATGGAAGATGCTGCTTCTAAACCAGAGAATGGCAACAATGAAGTTGAAGCAACAGAGCTGAATATTAAGGAAGAGCAGGTGAGTGAAGCCGAACTGGCATTTGAGGATGAAGATGAAGAAGAAGAGGAGCGCATTCGCAGACTTGAGGCTGGCGAAAGTATTGAAGAAATTGACAAGACTGTTCAACGACAGCGGCAACAATCATTACATACAACTGTCCTCAAGGTGCGGACAGTTTGTTCTTTGCATGTAATTTTAAAAAATACTGTTTGAAATGGAATTGGTACATTATCACGGCAAATTGTTGTCATAACATGCTTTAGTGGTTAGATTGTAATTTTGGAATGCCCTTCCTTTACCTGCCCTTTGAAGAGATGCACCCCTTTATCTTTTACCAACCACCCTTTCTTTTTTTTTTTTTTCAGAAAAAGACTGATGGTGAAACTAAAATCACACCTTTGCTGAAGGCAAATACTGAGAGTGAAGAAGAATATGTTGTTGAACGAATCGTCTCAAGACGTTACAATATTAGGAAAAAAGCTTATGAATATTTTTTAAAATGGGAAGGATATTCAGAGTACGCTTCTTTCTTATTTTTTTAAATTTTGTGGTTTAAGTCTGTTATTACAGTATATGTATCAATTTTGTCAAATTTCTGTACTTTCTACAGTCAACAAAACACATGGGAACCAGCTGAAAATCTTGCTGATTGCAAACATCTTCTTGACAACTTTGAACGTAACTTAGCCAAACAGAAGCAGTTGCAGGCACAGGGAAAAGATCCAATGAAGAAAGGTCCTTCAGGTCTTCCTTCAGGACCTAAAATGATAACCGCAGATATATCTGCTACAAGCACTCCAAAGCCTGAAGGTTCACCAGCTAGAGGCCGCCCTGTCAGAAGTAGCAAGAAGAAGGCTTTGGATCAGGTCAAAGCCTGGTGTGGATCTATGTCAACAAAGAAAGCAGATGAGGACGGATTACGAGAAGGGTCAGACTTGTCTGATTTTGAAGATGGTGCCCGCAAAGCAAAGCGATCTTCTGAGAGTGAAGATATGAGTCAGTATGATGGATTATCTGCTGATGAACTTCCTGTGAAGCGGCGGAAGAAAGAAGATGAGGAATTTTTATCAGTTCGTAGAGGGCCTGGTCGACCACGGAAAATCTTGAAACTCAATGGAGATTCTCCTGTTAAATCTGATTCTGCAAACCAAGAGCTAGCCAAGTCATTCCTTGGTAATATTTCTGTTTTTAATTTGGTAGTGCTTTCCTCTCATAAGATTATACCCTGACGCTCATTAATCTTTATTCATTTTTTAATGAAGGTGAATTTATATCTGGACTGGATGGTAATTCTGGTAAAGGTCCTATAGTTCTTGGGAAGAAACCTGATGGGACTGCAATGTCTCCCTCTCAGCAACCTGTTTTGGTCGCAAATTCTAAGGGAGTTGTGAAGGTGGACCCACGCACCATGCCCAACATATCCTCTGGTGTATATATCATGTCAACTAAGCCTGGACCCAATGGTGGCAGTGGACTAATTAAAATAGACTCACCAAATGTCAAAGTTGTGACTGGTAAGGGAAACAATGAGAGAGTAACATCTAACTGTCAACCTGTCAAACTTATGCCAAACTTGCACGGAAAGTAATGTAACTTTTCTATCATTTCCAGGAGTGGGTCAGAAGCAAGGTGGAATTATGGCTGTGAAAGATGCCAAAGTTGATGCTGATGCTGGGGAGAGAACATCTCCCATCAAAACAACTGTTCTTGGTAAAAAGCTTCAACCAATATCATCTGCGTCGGCAAGCCCCATGACTCCAATGAAGTTGATGCCGAAGTTGGTCTCGCCTCAAATGAAAGGAGGTCTCATCAAAGTGAACCCGAGCCCTCGAACCGCCACTCCCTCTGCTGGGGGCCTGGCGGGCGTGTCGGGGCCGCGCCCGCTCATCTCGCCGTCCATCAGGCCGGGCCTCGTGCGCAGTGCTGTCGCGTCGGGACCCAGGCCGGCCATCGTGCCGCCGTCCCCCAGGATGCCAACTGTTCTGGGCGGGGCGCGTGGTGGCATCAGGCCGGTGCGACCCAAGCAAGCCTTGACTGTGGCCGGCGGCAGAGTAGTGTCTTCGTCTTCTCCGCTGGGATCGGGCGTCAAAAGTGGCATCCGGCCCATTGAAGCCATGTTAGGCACTGGTGCCCACACCCCGACCTCTAGTGCCACCTCTTCCAACGTAACTTTGCAGGTGACTTATTGGAACTGAGTAGAAGTAAAAGTTTTCTGGACTTAATGTTTTCTCATGTCAGCTTACTAAAGTATGCTCTTTTCTTCAGCCGAAACCTGTCCTTGGGAAGAAAGAAGATGTAGCATCCCTTTCCAAGAAAGAATCAGCTAGCTTACTGGTGAACTCTGGTTTGAAAACAAAAACAGAGCCACTAAGGGGAGGAATGAGGGGACGCGGGAGGGGCCGAGGCGGCCATGTCGTTAGTGCAGCTCCGGTGAGAACTGAATCTGTTTCTCGTTTACTATTCATTGAGCGATTATGATGGCCGCTTGCCATTGGTTGATTGTTAGCTACAGTTTTGAGTTTGACTTTTCAGGTAAGAAGCCTAGAAGACAAGACAAAGTCACAGTCCAATGAAGCCTTGAACTCCGAGCTCACAGATGTAAGTACCCCTTCTAAAACTAAAGACCTAGCTCTTCAGGTTTATGCTAGAGTATCAGCTGTTAAAATCTCATCCTTGTGTTAGTCTCAGTCCAACAAGCTTATACCTACACAGAAAAAAAATTGAAAATATGAATTATGTTTGGACTTGAACACTATGTCATGATATCAGTGTTTTTTTTCCCTTCTCAATTTATCTAGTGTTTCAGTTTCTTTAAATTCTGAAAGAATGGTTCAAACAATCAAGCACCTGGTGCTGGGACAAGTATGTGGGGTTGGCTTAATTCACCATTTAAAATGGCATCTTGATTTCTTTGCTTAAGCAGCTTGCATGTTTTTTTTTCCTTTTTGCTTATCTATAATAGATGGCACTTTAATTAATTTTAAATTAATCGTAAATAAGGGAAGCTCATTCTTAATTCTGGTAAAAATCAATGGCCCTGATAGGTCGTTTTCTTTGGAGAGGTCAGTTTAATGCACGTGGTCTAATGTGTCATTACATGTTTGTTTAGGACCGTTCAGATGAATCAGATTCAGAATCAGACTGTGGTCTCCAAGATGACTTCCCGACAGGTGAAATGCCCCCACTTGAACCTGCCAGCCCAGAGAGACCTCTTACTTTATGTCCTTTGACGGGCAACATCCTGGCTCGAGCAGAAGGCGAGAAAACGCCTCCACCAACTCCTCCACCAGAGCCTGTACCAAGTCCTCAGCCCGCTCCTCCTCCCTCAAACACCGTTCTCTTGGAGGAAGAAAGTCTTGAGGGCGGAGAGCAGACTCTCATTAAGGTTCGTCGCGTATTAATTTTCCAAAGAGAGAAACTACTTATCAGGACTCGTTGATGCTTCCCACTTGAAATCTCTTTTGGCAGAAATATGGGTTCATAACTGCTCTGCTTTTTGCTTTGCCTTTGTCACACTTGCTTTGTTAGTGCATGTGTGACCTATAGCCATCCCTTTTCATCTGCTGTTCCACCATTAGGCTTGACTTGTTGACATTTTTCTTTCTGTAGGTATTTTTTTTTAACACAGTGGCAGACAACTCACTGATTTTCTGACTGTTTGCTGGTTCCCTGATAAATAGTGATTGATTTTAATCAAGACATAGTCTTGGTTAATTTTTTTTTTCAGCCATTGTTGGCATTGGATTAATGGAATTGAATGTTTTTAGTTTTCATTTGGGTGCTACATATGCAGATGTCCTTAGTATGTTGTGAACCTGTATAAACTACAATTAAAATCTGTTTTATCAGAATATTTGCAACCAATACAAGCAAACATTTAAATTTATGACTAATACAGTGGTTTCCTTTTGTTCTTATCTTGAGGTGCAGTACCTGCCAACCTTATTGAAGCTTAAAATATTAAACTGAGCTATAATTTTATTGACAGGTGGAAATGAGCCCTGGAGGTACCACCGGCACTGTTATTGGAGATGAAGGGACAACATTGCTGCGGACCTCGAGTGGGCTTACTGTTAAAAGGATGACTGGTGGATCTCCTGGAAGGAGTGGAACTCTCTTAAGCACTGTGACCCAAGTGGCTGACACTTCTCAAATGCAGGAAATGTCTCTACCTACCCGTAAATTATTCACTGAAGATGGACAGGAGATATCTGGCATTGTTCCAGAGACAGAGATGGTTACCATTCAAGGTAAATGTGTGTCCTTCATTGTTTTACACATTATTTGACTTATCTCAGTACAATAACCCTCCCCTCTTTTTAATGTCTCTAGGACCAGATGGTGTTGTGTACCAAGTTCAGGGTCAACTTGAAGATGGCACACAGACACTCCTTGTCCAGGGTGAAGATGGAGAGCAGCGATGTGTTTATGTTACGACAAATCAAGAGGGTGAAGATGGCTCTACTGTTTTAACATTAGATTCTGCGTATGCTGATGCTGTGGCACAGTTGGATTCAAATCAGGCAAGCTTCTCAATTGTTTTATTGCCAAGCATGACAAACTCCAATCTCAAATATCCTTGTTGCTTTCAATGGAATTTATCGTCTAGATCTTTCTGACCTGAGTTTTCTTAAATCCTTCTAGGTGAGCATACTGGGAGATGGATCCCAACTTTTAGTGCAAAACGAAGATGGAACAACAACTCTTGGTGATACACATCTGATGTCGGTCATGGAAGGAGGTGATAGGGATGATCCACAAGCGCAGATTGTTGCGCAAGTGGTTCAGGCAGGAGAAGCTCCACCTGGGGGTATGTCTCATTTCTTGTTGAAAGCATCTGTCTGACCTTGCCTCAAAAATTATTTTTTAATTTTTCTTTCTACAGGTGGACCACGAAATGTTGTCCTTCTGTTACCTGATGGTAATCTGATGGTCACAGAAGTAGATGAAGAGCAATATGCTGCTTTAGAACTGGAGAAAACATAAGAAATTTTTGTTATTCTTCATTTGTCAGTAAGTTTTACCAATTAATGAATTTACTGTGTACTCTATTTGTAAATTTTGCTTGAAGCTAATACAGCTATATTGTTACCTATCAGGCTGATCTCATCAAATTGCAGCTGCAATATAGAAACTTTTGATAGTCATCAATTGACAGTTGCTGGTTTTCATGCACTCCTTATTCAGAAGAATGTTGCAAGTTTCTAGTTCACATTTGCACTTGGGATTTCAGAGAATATTTTTTGTGTTGGTAATGATCAAGACCAGACTACAACTTGGGATACCAAAGAGTTAAAGTGAGAAATGACTTATAATGTCATATATAGTTTTGATATCTGACCAAGGATCATTTAGTGTGAACCAATACTGGGTTGTCCTCACCTCCTACAAAAAAGTATGGTTTTATCCTGGTAGGCCTGTGTCTGTATGAACTAAAAGGGAGTTTCTACATTGTAGCAAACTGCAGGCAACTGTTATGTTTGAAATGGAAGATCTATTGTTATTGATACTTCTCAACTGACTGATTATTAAAAGTTAGAATGCAAAGTGTTCATAGGTTTGCGTGTTATTGGTGTGTCCTTATAATATTTTTCTTTTGTCTATGAAAGAAATAATAATCTATTCAGTGTATCTATATCTGCTGATTTTCCAGTTTAGATTGTATCATTCTGAATTATTCTGTTTCTTACACTTGTTGAAACTTTGTACATACTTTTTAGCAATAATTATTTGCCAGCTGTTATTATAGACAAATTTATGTGTACATTATCAGAGCATGTAATGTTTGATATCTCTAAAGCTTCCATTGATTATATTTAAATATTTTGACTTTGTCGAGTAAATAAAATTACAAGTCTTAGACATTCTATAGTTGCTTACGAAAGCAAGGATTATTTCCAAATTTTAGAACAGTGTAGAAGCACTGCCTCTGACAAATTTATACACTGATTAAAGCCAAATAGTTTATACTGTATGCAATTTATACACATTTGATATGTGTATGTGTGTTGTTTTGTAAAATGTAAGCTAGCTATCAATATGCAAGACAAAGGACATTAAGTGTTGCTTTTTAAAATGTATTGTCCTCACTTGTTATTGCACTTAATACACTAAAAATATCAAACCATCAAGAACATTTATTTCTCCTTTTTCCTTTCATCTTCCTCATGAATTTTGGGCCTGATACCAACTCTGCCTTTCATAGTATCATGCGATAGATAGAAGAAAAGAGGCACAGAGTAGAAACAGATTTGTCTTGATTTAATTATATTTTACTATAACATGGTTTTCTCAAACTTAAACTGTAATAACAGAAATTTACACACGGGTGTGGTGAGGGTCACACATGATAATGCAAAAAACCTTGTCCTTGCTGTGCCAGGAGATTTAAATTTATGCTTTATAAAAGCAATTTATCATAACACAACTGAGGAAAGGAGGTGATATCAACTCTCCGCACGAAACTAAACGGCAAATTTTCTACAGGAACAATTGTTCCTTACATGGCTGCTTCCATTGTGTCAATGCAATAATGACACCTCTAGTTCAGAGTAGGAAAAAGAAAAGGCTGGTTTTCATTTGGACTCAAAGCATTGGAATTACCTAAATGTGATGCATAGCTTAGCACTGAAAGCAAAAGTCATCAAAGTAATTAACAGGCTCAAAAAAGAGTTTTAAAAGAACATAGGCAAAGACTTTCATAAGTAACCTACCTTGTTAGCAGATTTCACTAAATTTTGTCCATATAAAGAATTATTTAATGCTCTTTCGCAATTAGCATATGCCATTCCAACACCAAAGCCTCCACCAAATAATAAAGGCCATCCTTTGCCTGCAAAGAATATAAGGTTTATTAAAATATTGCTTGATGTTGTAGGTGAACAAACATTTATATGCAGTTTCACTCACGACTGAAAAATAGAACCGAGCAAACAGCACCAATGGCTACACCACCACCTGAAAAAAGGAGATAATAACAGGCTTAACACAAAAATTTTCAATAAACAAATCAGGCTGATTTTATCAACTTCAATTTTTCTATACCAAAGAAAAATACCATTTTTCTCCCTCAAGCAAACAGAAGGTTAAGGTCAATCCCATCCCAGAGTTTAAAAAGACCATATATTTTATGTTGAATGTCGGAAACAGTATGGCGTACATAATAAAAGTGCAAGTTTTCAAAAGAGCTGTACTGACATAATGTCAACGATTGAAAGGCAAAAATAATTGATCAATACAAGGAGAGGGATAACATAACCTTAGTCACATCATAAGTCACCGAATTGGCTGTGTGCGAAAGAAGGTAGAGTCCCAAGAAAGGTTTTCACCTGTTTTTAATACGGCATCAGTGACACACTTGTCCCATTTTCTTCCTGGTTCATCTTCTGAAAATATAGGCCGAGACATTTTGAAGGGAAAATAATTTTTGAACAGTCTAACCAAAACCTGACCAGACCAGCTGACGGTCGAGGAGTGAGTCGAGACGCAAGAGAAAGGGAGAGGGAGGGGAAGGGGAGGAGGGAGGAAGAGAGAGGAGGAGGGGCGATTGCGAATAGCAATCGCAATGAGGAAATAGCAACCGCCCGTCGGAGCCGGAACTGGAACTCACCCACCCCCTCGCCCTCGCCCTCGCCCTCACCCACACCAAAATCATCAAAACCTGGCAAATTTCAACAATCCACCATGGAGAAGGGCTGTAGCCGCTGCTAGCCCCTCTACCGCCAGTCAGGAGTGCGTTCTGGGCCTTCTACTCCAGTGCAAGCCTAGAGCCGCAAGCTAACTGAGGGAAGGCTATTGAAATAAACTCAGAAATGAGGTATCACCCCTCTTTGCAAATGCAATGGGTAGTCTGAGTCTGCTTCACATAAATTCGCTGTCAAGGCATTTTTCGATCCGTTCCGATTCTACGCCAATTACTTGGCAGCCAATTTTCTGGTCCAGCACCCTGTGTGCGAAGCTGTAGGAGCGCCGAAGATCCTCTACTTCTTCACACCAAGCTCCTTTTATTATTTTTTTTATTTTTTTTTTCAGAATCATTCCAATTAAAACTTGACGCTGTTCGCCCCATGCTGTGCTCCTCCCTTTTGTGATCGCGCGCGATGAACCAGGCCCGGGGACTTGGGAGGGGGGAGGGGGGAAGGGGGGTAACTCACTTGAGCCTGCGCTGTCCTGGCATCTCCCCCACGACCATAACCGCCCCTCCCCTCGGACCATTTTCGCGAGGGTGCAAGGAGGGGTTGGAGTGGTCAGGATGCTGGGCTGGCCTGCTGGCCACATTGCACTATGCCAGGCGCCAGAAATTCATTTAAAATTCTAGCGACGCGGCAGCTTTTTGTAACCAGTGGGGTTCCAGTTTGTTTGATTATTTTTAAATCAACGTGGTCCTCCTGTTGCTGAACTTTATCACGTGATCGCATCATCGAAGAGTACTCTCTTCTCTAAATGAAACCAAGCTTCGGCTCGCCCCTGCCCAATCCTGAAAAAAAAAGAAAATGCATGACTAAAAATTGTAAAATACAATGATTACGGAATTTCGTGAGACTGACATTCCTTCCCCCTGAAAAGAGAGAGAGAGGGGGGGGGGAGAAAGAGGAAGCCACGCCCACTCGACGCCGCACGACGTCGCGCCTGACAGTGTACATGCACTGCATATGCAGGCAAGGAAATCCGATTACGGTGCTATTGTGCGGCCGTACATGCGCCAGACTGGGAGCTGCACCCCCCGCCCCTTTCCCAGCATCACTCCCTCGTCTCTCTCTCTCTCTCTCTCTCTCTCTCTCTCTCTCTCTCTCTCTCTCTCTCTCTCTCTCTCTCTCCCTCACACAGCGCACAACCCCCGCCGCTCCAAGCCGAGAACCTTTGGCGGCAACGGTATCCGCAAAATCCCGCGCATCGTTCGGAGAAGAAGCCGCGAGCTGCAGCCGCTGGTCGCCGCCGATGCACTATCGGAGCCGAGCCCGAGCAGCGCGAGCAGCCCGACGACGCATTCTGCATTACTCCCCCGTGTGCCCCCCTCCCGTCGAAACGTATTTATTTGGGCGAGGAGCTGACCGCACACCGGAAGCCCTCCAGCCCGCAGTAGCTGGCAGCGGGGCGGGGCGGGGCGGGGCGGGGCAAGTAGGGCGTGGCGGGGAGGAGGGGGCGGGCCGGGGAGAGGGGCCGGCGCGGGGCTGCGCGGGGCTGTGCGGAGCTGCGGCCCGATTTTCTACAAGAAAGAAACGCCGCTCCCGCGAGGGAAAAAGGTCGACCGTTTTAAAAGGACGTGCGAGCATGGCTCCTGACGTCTGAGGCAGGGCTGGGCTGGGCTGGGCTAGGATGGGCGCGCCACCGCTCCCCCTCTCGGCACAATTTTTTCTCTCGCTTTGGCGTGCGGCTAGCCCTGCTGAGCGCGGGGCCGCGCGGGGCAGCGAGGGGCCCTGTCTACTCTCCTGACGGACCACACCGCCGAGCGGCTCGGGGGCGTGGCGGGGCGTGGCGGGGCGTGGTGGAGCGGGGTGGGAGAAAGGGCTGCAGGTGCGGCAAGACAGAGAGAGGGGAGCATCGTGACAAACAAGCGGGTTTCATTTTAAGTAAGAGCCGTTTCTTTGTCGGGATTTAAAGCTCTGGCGCCGCCCCGCCCCGCCCCGCCCCGCCTCCACTCCACGCCACAGCGACCATCCCTCGGTGGAGAGTGCAGCCAGCGGGGCAGCCCTCGTCTCTTACACTGCCAGCCTCCGCAACATCCGCACTGTTCTCTCTCTTTCTCTCAGGGTCTCTCTTCCTTGGCCCGATTTTCGTTCGGCGCTCGGAAACGCTCGGCGAGTAGGACAAGACAAGTTGGGTCAGATAGGCCGGCCAAGCCGGACAGGGCGAGCGCCGCGGAGCGCCGGCACACGATCATGTTTGGTCTAGCCGTCTAGCCTCTAGTGGTAATGGTAATGGTGAGGGTAGGCAGTCGGGCCGGTGCGACGCGCGCGCGCGCTGCGGGCCTGCCTACCCCGCCCACTGCAGGCGGCGGGCGCCAAGCGGCGGTGGGGCGGCGGCGGGGCGGCCAGCGTGGCTCTTCCATTTGGCAGCAAGGGCCGCCCTGTCGCTCGCCTCGCCACTCGGAAGGGACCCGGGGAGGGGGCCGGGGGGCCAGGGGGGCAGGGGGGCGCACTCACCAGGTCGGAAGACGGAGAGCAATTGTCGCGCCTATCAGGCGCTATTGTTTATTTGCAGTAACAACAATCTGAGGGTGGATATTGCGCGAGGAGGTGGGGGCGGAGGGCGGCTGCCAGTGGCAAGCGCGAGTCAATGTAAACACAGCGGAAGCCATCACGACGGGTCCAGGCGGGGTAAGGGGTGGGGGAGGGCATGTGTCCTCTAATGGCCGCGCTAGGCTTCCAGCGCTTCCAGCTTCCCCGAGCCAGGCCGTCCGGGCTGGCGGGGCCGGCGGGGCTGGTGTATATCAGCTCGCCATAACGACCGGTGCATATCTGAACGGAGGGGACTAGGATGGGATGAGCGCACCTCGGAGTTTACCTTGGAGGCTGGCCGGGCTGGCACCCGACACGGCGTGGCCGTGGCGTGGCGTCAGCGCGATAAGGGTGGCAGGGCGTCGTCGTCGTCGCCCAGGGCGGCAACACGTCGCACGGCCGGTGCAGCAGCAGGGCCTTGTTGTGCAGCAGCAGCAGCAGTAGTGGTGGGCACACCGTGAATCACGCCAACTCGTCATAATTCTTTGGGGATGGGGGCCTCGAGAGCCTCGAGGGGCTCGATTAGCTGCCGGCGATGGGCCGGATCGGCAGCCAACGGCAGCCAATGGGAAGCGAGCGATCAGTGCCGGGCGTGGCCACAAGGAGCACGCCTCGACAAGTGCTTCCGAGAGGGCCGGGTCCAGTCCGAGGCCAAGGCGCCAAGGGACCCGAAGCACAGTGGGCCAGGACACCGGTGGAGGCGGCCAAAACTCTAGACGCGTTTTGAGCTCCAGAGTCGCTTAACAGGACTCGAACCGAACGTGTGACCCCACCAGTGGATTCCTCGTTCGGAGGGGTCGAAGCGGGGTCACACGTTCGGTTCGAGTCTTATTTAGCTACTCTGGAGCTCAAAACGCGTCTTGAGTTTTGGCCGCCTCCGCCGGTCTTCTGGCCCACTGTGCGAAGGGACGGCACCTTGTTGCAGAATGCATCTTATCGGCCCCGCTCTACGCACCCTTTCTGGGGGAGGGGGCGCGACGGACAAATTTTACCGTGCTCTCGGCAGAATGCCACAAACTTCACAGCCGAAACAGTTAATAAGAGCAGAGTAAAAAAGCACGTGCATTGTACTCGTCGTTTTGACCGGTGTACCCCACACGCCTCGGCCGCCCCTTGCGCCCCTGTCTGGAACTTTTCACCGCGCGGAGCGGCAGATGCAGGGGGGAATAAAGAGGACGGAGGTGACCGCCAAGGAGTCCTTTGTGGTTCGATTTCCGGAGAAAACTCCCTCGGTCAAAAGGGAAGGGAAATGGGAGAGAAAATAAAGGGGTTAGAAGGAGGAGGAAATTACAGGGCTGCATGGAGGGTGCCGGGGGAAGTGTCTGCTTGTGTGTGCGTCAGTGCGTCTGTGAGTGTGTGCTTGTGTGTGCGTCAGTGCGTCTGTGAGTGTGTGCTTGTGTGCTGGAGGTTCCTGCTGCCTGCAAACAACGTCCCGGGTAGTGTGGTACTTTCTCGGGTACTTTGCGTGGTATTGCGTAGTTATTAAGAGTCGCCGAAGGCTGTCACCCCCACGATGCCCCACGCACAGTGGGCCAGAAGACCAAAACTCCAGACGCGTTTTGAGCTCCAGGGTCGCTAACTGGGACTCGAACCGAACGTGTGACCCCACCAACGGATTGCTCTCCGAACGAGGAATCCATTGGTGGGGTCACACGTTCCGTTCGAGTCCTGTTTAGCGACTCTGGAGCTCAAAACGCGTCTGGAGTTTTGGCCGCCTCCACCGGTCTTCTGGCCCACTGTGCCACGCCCGGCCTGGCCGTCAGTCAGCGCCTTGTCAACGACGTGTCCACGGCGCGCTGCTGTCAAGGCCTGCCTGCTTGCCGCCTGCTCGGTCCGTGCCGCCAGCGCCTCGCAGCCCGGCGGCCTAGCACGTGCCGCCGCCAACACACGTCATTCCTCCGGCCTGCTCTAAAAAAAACCGGAGAGAAACAAAGAATAAATTGTGTGCAGAAATAAAAATGTCCGTTGTCGCCGAGCTTTGCCGTGGTCCGCTTCGCCCCATATTCCACATCCCCTCCCGATGCGGTCCCCAGAGGATCCCTCTCAATCATTCATCCTCCGTCCGCCTGCGCCGGGGCCGGGCTGGCCGGGCGGGCTGGGCGGGCTGGGCCGCCCCCTCCCAGTGTCGTCTTGCTGTCATCACAGACTCGCAAAGACTGAGCCGGGCGGAGCAGCGCAGCAGCGGAGCTACGGGATAGACGTCCGGTCCGGCACGGCTCCGCCGCTTTTTTAAAAAAGAACGAAAAAAAAAAAACGGAGAAATGGATAGTTGTTTCAG